TGGCTACAGGAAAAGAACCGTATTTTAAAAGTATTGAAAAATACTCTTCACAGGGTAATTCAAAGGAACACTGAAAGTACAGGATAAGCCAGTATTTTCTTATTCCCTAACAGTGAAATAGTTAAGCTTGAAAAACTGAGAGTCGTGCAGGCTTTTTGTTGCTAACACTGGATTATTTTACCTGCAGGTGTCCAGTCTTCCTCACTTCCATGTCTTACAGTAAATTCCAACCTAACTCTACCATGTGCGTTTCTTTGCATCCATCTGAATCTACTCACAATTTATTTTTTTTCCTGTAAATGTTATCAACATCAACCACCACTCCCTCTTCTGAAACTCATGTATCCCTACTACAGATACTTGGGGAGAAAAATGCAAGATGACTCATCTTTTTGTACTGACAACATGAGTATGAGGGATATTAATCCAATGTAAACTAAGCTTTTTATGCCAGCATAGAGGGCTAACATAGTATGTTGACACTCCAGGAAAAAGGGCAGAATGATTGTCTCGGTTTTAGAAAAATATTGGTATTCTAACATGCTAAAATATATTTAATTTTAATTGAACTTGAGGTAAGAAGGTCCCTCTTAAGGCCCCCATTGAGCATTACTTTAAAATATTCTTTAAATGCAGTAGTACTGCAATCTTTTGACAAGGATTGGGGTCCTAAATCTTAGTGGCTCCTTAGGGGAAATAGTGGTAACTACATAACTTCTGAATTCAACTTCAATTAATTCATAATAATTTCTTATCCCATCCCACCAGATAGAGGAGAGTGCTAAATTACCACCTTCTGCTCCATTCTGATTGCCGTGGGTAAATCCATCCTCTCCCAGGGTGGATCTCCAGCAGCAGCCCCAGCTTCCTCGGGCAGCCTAGTCCAACCCCAGCGCTCAGACCACAAATCCGCACGGGAATGCAAGGTGCGCCAAGAATCCTGCCCATCCCAACAGCGCTGCCCCTCTCTGTTGGACAACAGATAGAAGGTTGGTTCTAAGTCTTAGAAGAGCTCTGTGAGCAATCACAGCTGCCATCTGCATGTCATGCCTAAGTACTAAATCACTACAACTTGCTCTGACATAGGCTACAAGGTAAATAACTAGTAAAGACATTCAGAGCAGGTAAGGATAACTGTCCTACTCTAGGTATTGTCTAGTTTGAGACAAGCATCTGCATTAAGCTGATGTAAGCATCACCATGCAACTACTCTAGAAAATATATTCCAAGTGACACAACAGAAAACAGCTGAGGAAATAAGGCACTTACTTATATGAGTGATACATTAGCAGACTAGCTACATATTTAAACAGAAGTATGGCTCAGACATCCTTGCTCTGGAGGAATGAACAGTACCGTGCATGGAAGAAATGGCTGTTGCATGCAGAACCCGCTATCCATCCATACTATTAAGGCAGCATCGTGTACAAGGAAGCGTAGCAGGACATCACCGCTCTAAAGACTTCGCTCTTTTATGAGTGGTATAAATAAAACTTTGGTCCATTACCATCCCTCCACCCCCCTAACTGTTTACAGGCTTATTTCACAGAACAGCAGCATTAAGCAAAGTTAGTTAATTCCACACAACACACGTACCCTGAGACTAGAGTACAATGAAATACTGACAAAAATCAAGTCTGGAAGAAAAAAGGGAAGGATCTTCTAGCCTGCTTAAATTAATTTGCCTATGTAAATGCCTGTTTCTAACTTTTTTCCAGAGTAACAAATCTGATGTTTCACAATTACTTTTTGAAATGAGTCCAGTAGGAAGTACAATATAATGGACTTCAAGTAGAACAAAGACAGGTTTTTGTGAACAGATTGATGTCAAACAGCTGGAAACTCAGGTTTTAACATTACACTTTATAGCAAGAACAAAAATCCATTCACTCACTGCTAAAACACCAAAACTTTCCAGCCTGGATATGAAAACGAACATCCAAAATACAGAGAGACACAGCACTGATCAAGTACCCAGTCAAAGACCACTTCCCTGTTGTTAGAGCTAATGGTTACTCTAAGCTTGAAGTTTCCTCCCTCGTTGCTGGAAGGCCCTAACTGCACAACTTCCATGTCGAACGTCACAGTCGATCCAGAAGTAACAGCAGGCAGCTGGTTTGTCATTTCTTTTCCATTTACAAATACTGCTCCTGAAACAGTCAAGATGCCAAATATTATTTCTCACTTTCTGTACATACTAACGTGCAATACTATGTCTCCCTATTTTTTTGGAGGCAAATAGAAATGGAAAGCAACCACGTTCCTTTTTGTCACATCAAACCGGTTGTAATAACTGCAAGCAGGAAAAGGAAACCTGTGATCTCACCAAAGGTTTTAACTGTACAAAGAGTGTGTACATAGAAGGTGGATGAAGTTGCTCATATGTGATCCAGGGATACAAAGAACCAGAGGCTATGGGTTTTGGGGGAAAAAAAAATAAAACCAATCACATTCTTCAATTATGTGATTCAGACTCACCATTTGTGCTAATGCACACAGCTTTATCCCGCTGCAAAGAGTCGTAGCCGTTCTGCTGCTCCACACACACTCCTAGGCTGTCTCGTCTGTCTGGCTGTCCCACGGTTTCAATTCTACCAAGCAAAAAGTTAAGTAAGTCAAACCCTGAAGCTTTAAATCAAAACATACAATGAACTCTAGACAGTAATTCCCGGCCATACCAGACCTCTGTACTGTGCTCCAGGGCTTTCAACAAATTCATCCAACCTTTGGGGAGATCCCTGTTGAACGACCAGAAGTCCAACCAGCTTTCCCAATAGCTCCGCTCAGCAATGCTCGAACTTAATCCGTACAAAACATTAATCTGCTTCCTGCAAACTTTCATTGCTATTTAATAAAATTCTCCACGGTCACAACTTGGAGTCTTTTGAAATGATTTCCAGTTGTCTGAAACAACCGATATGCGCACAACTACAATCATCTCTACCAGATTACTGGTCAACATCACGTTACGCAAGACAGCTCTAGTTTCAGCAAGTATTCCATAAGCATGACTAAAACGGGGGGGGGGGGGGGGGTGGG